CATATCCTTCCATCTTTGAGCGTATTCTTTGAAAGACTCTTCTTTCTTCTGGGATAGGTTCTGGAGTTACATGCAGGTAGGCGCCTTGTCTAGGTTATATTTATAATGCTTTAAGAAAGAATTAGCAAGATTTGCCCATGTTCGAATATGCACTCGCTCCAACTGCATATACCAATATAGAGATGCCCCACTTAAGCTATCTTGAAAACAATGAATCATTAAATTTTGGTCGCGGGCATGGGCATGCATCTTCCTGCAATACATGCGCAGATGATTTCTTGGACATGTGACCCCTTTGTATTTTCCAAATTCAGGCACTTTGAACTTTGGCGGAATTACCACATCAGGAACTAAACCCATTTTGAGAGCATCTACTTCGATGGCATCAAAACACTCCACAACTTTCAACCTTTCTTCCAGATCCTTATATGGATTCACCACCAGTGGATTATCAATAGCATAAGTACCAGTTGTCTTTAAGGGTGCCTGGTTGGCATCCTCTAGGTCGTGGTCTCCATACTGCAGGTCTAAGTAGTTATCTGCATTGTTGATTGGAATTTGTAGGGTATGTGACGCCCCTACTTTTGATGGCGGTGGGACAAACCCTTCAGTCTCAACTTCTCTTATCTCTTGTTGGGCCATGACAGACTTTTGGGGTCCTTCTTCTAACTCATATCTCAGTTGGTGACGGCTTGATGCACCACTTGTTTAGGCTACTTCCTCGAAAGCTACTTTAGGAATCTGATCTTGTCTATAAATGATGTTCTTTAGAGATAAGAGAACTTGACTCAAATCTCCTTTCATTGAACTCACATCGCCTTTGACCTGGTTGAAATCCTCCTCAAATGCAACCTGATTTCTTCAATTTGTTCCGTTGCTTTTTCCTGGTAGGCCCTTGTTTGATATGGAGGCCAAAGAGGTGGTGATCTTCTTCTACCAATTATTTAACTGGAGAGATTTTTATAAAAAAATGAGCTTTGGTATGAAATGCAAGTGTTTGCGAATACATGCATGCATATGGTTATGTATGAACATGTAAAGGTTTCTTCTTTTAAATGTCTTATTCGTTTGGGTATATATGTATTTATTTCTTTTGCTTTTTTTTTAATTATTTGGTGAATATCTTAAAAATAGATACGCAAATGAGATACTGAAACAAAATGCCTTTGTTGAAAGTAACATAGTCCAGATATTGAAAAATATTACAACTTTAAACCAAAATATGTTTGCATGAAAGTAAACAAAAGGAAATAATTCCGCTAGGTGCGCTTACAGTTGTCTGCCCTGAAACAATCGAGCATTTCTCAACAAAGCTTGAGAAAGCCTTCAACGTCCTTAGGAAGAGGAACCATCACACTTTCCGCGTCTCTCAAACTCATAGGGATATCTTCAATGCGATTGCTGGCTAGGAAAGCGAGCCTTTCATGTTTGTCCTTGTAATACCGATACTCTTGATAAAGATGTGGGATTATCTTATGGTTATCTCTCCCTACTTGGGCGATCTTTGTTTACTGCTCTTCCCAATACATCTTTTCAGCCCTCATTTTCGTATAAAGCCTCCGTTGAATAATGAAATCTTTTTGGAGGCCTTCTAGCTCTAGGCACACTTGCTCACATTCTTTAGTCCTCTGAGTCAGGAGTCTTTCAGCCTCCATCATTTCAAGGCGTTCCTTAACCTCTGATTCTTGGCTGTCTTAAAGTCTGGCGGTGAGGTAATTCATCTGCTCCTCTTGATCTAAATAAGCTTGCACCAAACTTTGGATTTTGGATCTTAGGTCTTCCCCTGGTACCTTCTTGTCCCGTGTTTCTTTTTCATACCATCTAGTTAACCTCCCGATTTCAGTAGTAGCATCATATCACCTTTGGTTGTGGGAATCTAGATTGAAGGTCACACTCAATAGTCCTTCAATTGTACGCTTCCATTTGAGGCTCTCCTTTTCCAATTCCTTTTATTCTCTCTTAATCTGTTGGTCCTTTGAATCAAGTATGAGCTGCATTTGCTTCCTTTCTTTGGTCAGATTGAGGAGGTTAAGTTCTAGTTCTTCTTTTTCCCTCCGAGCTTATTGTAGGGCACTGTTCAGACCGTCGATTTCTTCCAAGGATATAGGCGTGACCTCTGGGACCTCTGACTTCTACTCCAGATCTTTATCAAATGGCAACTTGATAATTTGTACCCTATCCCGGACGCATCTAGTATGGGGTTCCCTTGCTATGGCATTCTTCCTTTCAGCTTTTCTTTTATTAACCTTATTCCAAGCCCGAATAACCTTGTTGAGCAACCCTTGGTCATGAATGATCAATTGTTCGAGTTGTTCGTCTGAAAGTTTATCTTCCAAAGGATACCCTAATTGTCGTAGGGCTAAGGTAGGGTTGTAATTAATACAACCTCGAGATCCAATAAATGGAACATTAGGAAACTCTACGCAACTATAAGTAATATCACCAATATTCAGCTTCCTTGCATACCATAATATTGAGTTAGCAGTGAGAGACCTTAATTTCTTAGGCCACTCGCGTTTGGTCAAGTTAGGAATCATGTAGTCTTCTTTGTAAAGATGGGTCATGAACCAGGTGTACAGAAGTGGAATGCAACAATTTAAAGTGCCCTTTTCTCTTTTCGTACATTGTATGCAATGTGTAATAAATGTCAGCAAGTAGAGCGGGAGTTGGATCTGTATTGAAAACTTTCGCACCCCAAAATATGCTAATGGTCGCAGGGTCAATATAGTCCACATTTCGGGGAAATAAAATTAGACCAAACACAAGCAATGCTAAACAATCGACACAAGGCTCTCATTCTTTATAATTTGCAAAATCGAGTGCCTTAGCTTCTAGGTATGTTCTCTTGATTCCTTGTATTGTGCCTTCTCTTTGGTAATTTTGAACTAACTCAGAATAAGGGATCCCTAAGCCTTTTTTCAAGACTTTGACTACAATAGTTTACCCGGTACCTACATAGGCCTTCTCTTTAAAAAAAGTTCAGATATCTGTCAAATTCTTCCAGATCCAGCGCTAGCTGGAAGTCTTGGAAGGTGAAGCATCTCAGCAGAGGGTCGTAGAACTGAATGAGGGAAGAAACAACGTCTAGTTGAACCTCTACTCTGGTCAAGTCAAGGGTATCCCCATAGCGGTGAGTGTACATCTTCAGAGCTCTTTCGGATAATTTCCCTTTTATGGTTTTGATCTCAGATATGTCTGGCTTGAGGGTATTGGCACAAACAAGTTGTTTCCCTTTGGTATCCATTTTCGAAGATAATAACCAAAATCTTGATTTTATTACTCATTTTTATACCATGTGAATAAGACAAATAAAAAGGAACGGATGATGAATACATGTGAAATATATGAATGCATAAATACAAGGTTTAGTGACAGGATTTTGTGACAGGTACTCTTATAAGGTAAGCTCTTAGTTTTGGCCTAATATTAGTCTACCCTCCTAAAAAGGTGTCTTTCTTAAAGGTATCATCAATAACAGCAGAGGGAAAAGGCACAAGGGCCTCCCTTAGGTGGAGCCTCTTTACAGATCGAGACTTTCGTCTCAAGGTCGTGAAAGGTATCATCATGAGATTTTGGTTAGGGTTATACAAAGAGTCATAGGTGGCATTTCAAAGTCCTACTCGTCAAGAGGATATCTCTCGATAAGTATTCCTTTTGTGGAATTCCACCGACTCTAGGAGAAGTCGTCACATAAACTCGCATGGATGATGTAGCCCCTGAGCTAATAGACGAACCTTCTTTCTAAGGGTTTTTGAAAATAAAAACACGCCCCACATCAAATATAATAATAAAAGATACATAGAATAAAAAAAATCATAAATAAATAAATAAAGAAAATAAAGACCCAACAAAACAAAAAACCTAACACCTAGAGGAAAGGCTTCTAAACCTAGGGTTGAAGTCCCTAACAGAGTCGCTAACTGTTGCAACTGGACTTAAAATCAAGAGTCGCCACTACTAGTTTTTATCCTAAGAAAGGACATCTAATAAGAAACCCTATTTCGCAAAACATAGATTCTAAGTTTCGAACTTCTTTAGACGAAAGGAAGGTGTTAGGAACCTTTCATCTACCTTGTTCTTAAGGATACTAGGTTTAGATTTAGGTTTAACAAGGTTTTAATTTTTTAATAGGGGAACTCGCCACGATTTTAATCGTATGCCTACATATCCTCTTATGAGGAATCAGAGTCCAAATTCGTAGTTTGTATGAGTTTGTGTTTTTTAGGGGTTTCAAAAGTATTTTGAATTGCCTCACATTTTGACTGGGTGTAAAGATAGTGGAAGTTTGGACTAAATGCGCGATTTGTCAAAATATATTCGGAACCCTTTTGCAAAAAATAGTTTTTTAGATAAGTTTATTGCGAAAAAGAGATTTAATATTTGTTGAGTGTTTTCTTAATTATATTAATTGCGAAAATTCTAATTAATGCATGATTAAAATATTTAATGCGATATAATAAAATATGTACGTGAGTTTTTAAAGAAAATAATATTTTAAACGATAATAATAATAGTAATATTTTAATAAGATTTAAGCATTTAAAAATAATTATTCATAAAATATAACGAGAAGATGAAATAAAAAAGTAGAAAATATAATAATTATAATAATAAAATTTAGAAAAAGTTTTAAAAAATTCTGGGGGGGTGTATTCTGAACTAGTAAGTAAAACGGTGAGGGTGTGCATAGTGAGGACCTAAACTCAGATATTGAATTCCGGCCAAGTTGGCCCAGGGGTGCGTTTTTGTAACTAACAAGCAAACAGGGGATCTGTTAAGAAACTGGGCCCAGCGGTAGGGGGTACTACGTTGGCTTAGGTTAACAATTATTGGCAAAAGGGGTGGTGTAAAAAAAAACTGGGCTAAGCCCAAAAGGTGTTTTTGGAATGGCCTTCCTAATCTCATACGTGAGGGTGCATGGAGCTTATAGCGGACTTGGACTCACGGCCGTTCGATATGAATCATGTGGTTGCAATTGAAGGAGTATTTTTTTACCTTATATGCACACACACAAAATCATTTCAGAATACAAATATTTTTTTAATCATTTCATATTTCAGTCCCAATCGTCCTCTCTATCTCAACCTTTATCTTCTTCCTTTCAAAAAAACCCTAACCCTAAAGCAAACCCCGCGGCGGCGCTCCCAACTGAATCCGCTTTCCACCTTCAATTCAAACCCAACCCACACAAAATAACATAAGAAAAAAGTTGAGTTATATGACCCCTTGTGCGATCTCGTTTCCGATTTCAAAATTTCATTTTGTTTTAGATCCTCTTCCTTTCTGTATTAGAAGGTCCAGTGGTGCTCGAAGGTGATGACGGTGGACGATGGTGAGGCAACGACACGATTAGGGTTTCAAATGTAGAAACCCTAATTCGTTTTTTCTTCAATCTTTAACAGCGAGCTAGGTATCTGTTCTTTGTTCTGTTTCAGTTTCGTCTCCCTTTTTCTCCTCCTTTTCTGTATTTCTCGTTTTAGTATTTATAGGGTTAGGTTTAGATTGCTGTTACAAATTAGTTAGCTTAAATTAGGTCAATTAGAGTAAATTAGGAATTGATTCGTTTGTAATTGATTCGAAATTTATTTGTAATTTTGATAAACATTGATTCTATGTATTTGATATTGGAGTTATAAATTGTTTTGGGATTTGATTTAATTTTAGATTCTACATTTTTTAAAGATTTGAACTTGTAATATTCTGGGAATTGATTCGCAGTAAAATTATATTTAAGATTTGATTTGGTTATAATTTGTACAGTAAGTGTCAATTGATTTGAAACATGCGTATTTTTCTCATTGATTTGCATAGTGACTGTTAATTTAATATGGTCTTGTATTGTAACTTCTACTGTCCATCACGTTTCCTGATGATTTTGGGCCTTAAACCATGTTTCTTTATCCTGCCAACATTTTTGAGTTTCGGCCTTGTTTTGCGCAGTAACCTTTTTGTTTATCACACCAACATTCTTCTTTATTTAAAATGGACCTGGCCAAACATTAGCATCTTTTATAAAACCAATATTTTGTTTTCAAACATTAAACTTACATTTACATAACTCTTAATAAATAATTATATAAAAACATTTAATAAAACAATAAAATGTTTTTATTATAATAAATTCCTTATAACTTGTAAAAAAATATTTTTTAATAAAACAGTCATAATAGTAGAAGCAATTTCATAATAATGTTTTTTTTCCTAAAACAAAATAACAATGATAAAAAAACGACAAATGGGCTAGTTTTTGAAAAAAACCTTAATGATGAAAATGGAACAAGCAAAAAACAAAAAGAAAAGTTGGAAGAAGAGAAGGAATATTCTAAAGGGAGAGACAATAAAAATGAAGAGCTGGAGAGTGGATGTGAGAGTGATAGTAGTAGTGGAGCTACAAAAAAAGTACCTTATGTTTAAGTTTCAAAAGGACATTTCAAATTACAATTGGGAGGTAGGAATGTATTTTATTACCAAATGTGATTTTAAGGAAGCAATAACTTCATATGTTATCTGCAACAATCCAAAAATTTATAATTAATTATTTAATTGATTAATTATGATTTATTAATGGATATATGTGAATGATTATTGAATAATGTGTGTTATGGGGTTGTGTTGGAATTATATAATATTTAGAAGTTGTTATTTTATTTAAAAAGTTTAGTTGAGACTATTTAAAATTAATAATAATAAAAATAGAGGTAATATTAATATAGAGATATTGATGGTTTATTGGTAATTCTAAGAATAACAAGTGAGGACATAATGGGGATGACATAGAAATGGGTCCAAGGGTTAAATTAGTAAAATTAACGAAGGGAAGAATCACTTTATTTTGGGTGATCATAGAAAACAGAGAAGGAACAAAAACAGTGTTTTGGGAGAAGAGAAAGCAAGAAAGAGAGAAAGAGTTAGGGGTAAGAGAACCTCTGTAAGAGCACTTTCAAAGAACATCAATTAAGGTAAGGGTGAAGTTCTAACTATCTAATGGAATGTATAATGATCCATGGGTAAGGATAATTACTCGTTAGAACCTAATTCTACTTCATGTGTTAAACCCTAAATGATAGAATTTTGTTTGGTAATGATGTTGGGTGAAATTATGAATTATGGGTTTATGTCAATGTATGTGAATGTGACTTAATTGTGTAAATTCATAGTGTGATTGTTTCTTTGATGAATTGGAATGTTTCTAATGATGCATGAGATTAGGAATTTAATTTGGAATCTGTTTCTGTATAATGTGTGGGTATTGTAGATGTTTGGGTGTAGAGAAAAAATAATTTTCGTGTCAAAATTGCAGAAAAGTGCTTCTGTCAGGGAAGTAACCAGTTACTTGAAATGAAGTAACCTGTTACTATGTTGTTAAAATGTGTTTTAGGCCATTATGGGTTAAAGTAACCAGTTACTTAAAATGAAATAAATGGTTACCTCAGAGAAAAACTGCATATTTTGTCTTCTGGGCTGAAGAAACCGGTTACTTGGATTCAAGTAACTCGTTACTCTGCTATGTCAAAAACTTTGTAAAAACTTCAAAAATTCACAACTTTTGAACCATAGCTTCGTTTGGGATGCTGTTCAAAGTCTTAGAAAGCTAGTGCGATATTCTTTTCAATAAAAATGGTCTTTCTGGCAATAGGTGATTTAATTATTGTTTTGTTGTGTAAAAAGGCATGTATTTGTGTGTTGTGTTGCTTGTGATGTGCATTAATGATACATTGCAATATAGTGTGCTATATTCATATAAATGCCGAGTTTGTACCGTTTATATGATGATGAGTGGTTGTAATTGTATGTTTGGTGAACAGTGATACCACGATGTTGTGTTGTGTTGTGTTGTATGCATCATATGTATGCAAAATATGTTTTTTTTTATGGAATGTGTGAAAATGCATGGTTATTGCTTGCTATATCGTTGTATGGTTGTTGCTGCATGTTTTGATATGTGTTTGGTGTATGGTGGTCGGTATCAGTGAAGTGCCATGACTATGGTGAAGGTCAATGTGCATATTGTTGGTGTTGCATGATTCTATATATGTCATGCATTCATGGTATGTACAAATCTGGGATTGTCGAGTGCCTAATGAGGTGTGAGTGACATATCCGTATTCTATTCGGGAATTGTATGATTGTGTGCCCAATATAGTGTGAGCATTGAGAATTTGTCGTGTGCCCGGTGGGGTGTGAGCGAAGAGGAGTGGGATGACTATGTGCTTAGTTGGGTGCGAGCGATGTAACTGGATTCCAACATGAATTTATTGATGGGTTCTTATGAATTGATGGTACCACATGCATTCAATCTTATAATAGTGTCTCATTGCATTATATATTGGTTGTGTATGATATATGTGTTAGCATGTAATTATCCTTGTATGCTATATGTGTTAGCATATGATTATCTGTGTATGCTATATGTATTAGCATGTGTTAGAAGACGACAACGGTATCTAGAGGGGGTGCGCGATTAGTCAAAATATATTCGGAACCCTTTTGCAAAAAATAGTCGGTTAGATTAGTTTAGGGAGAAAAAGATATTTAATATTTGTTGAGTGTTTTTTTAATTATATTAATTGCAAAAATTATAATTAATGAATGATTAAAATATTTAATGCAATATAATAAAATATGTACGTGAGTTTTTAAAGAAAATAATTATTTAAGCGATAATAATAATAGTATATTTTAATATGATTTAAGCATTTAAAAATAATAATCCATAAAATATAATGAGAAGAAAGAAATAAAAAAGTAGAAAATATAATAACTATAATAATAAAGTTTAAAAAAATTAAAATAAATTTCTAGGGGGTGTATTCTGAACTAGTAAGTAAAAAGGTGGGGGTGTGAATAGTGAGGGCCTGAATTCAGATATTTAGTTCAGGACTAGTTGGCTTAGGGGTGCATTTTTGTAACTAACGAGCAAACACGGGGTCTGTTAAGAAACTGGGCCCAAGTCCAGATATTGAACTGGGCCCAGCGGTAGGGGGTGTTACGCTGGCTTAGATTTGAAATTATTGGCAAAAGGGGTGGTGTAAAAAACAATTGGGCTAGGCCCGAAATGCGTTTTTAGAGTGGCATGCCTAATCGCATACGTGAGGGTGCACATAGCTCATAGCGGACCTGGCCTCATGGCTGTCCGATACGAATCATGTGGATGCAATTGAGGGAGTATTTTGTTTATCGTATACGCACACACACAAAATCATTTCAGAATACAAATATTGTTTTAATAATTTCATATTTCAGTTCCAATCGTCCTCTCTCTCTCTCTCTCGACCTTTATCTTCTTCCTTTCTAAAAAACCCTAACCCTAAAGCAAACCACTACGGTGGCGCTCCCAATCGAATCCTCTTTCCAGCTTCAATTCAAACCCAACCCACCCAAAATAACAGAAGAAAAAAGCTGAATTATATTACCCCTTGTGCGATCTCGTTTCTGATTTCGAAATTTGATTCTGTTTCTGATCCTCCTCCTTTATGTATTAGCAGGTCCAGTGGTGCTCGAAGGTGGTAACGATGGCTGACGGTGAGGCAATGACAAGATTAGGGTTTCAGATGTTGAAAGCCTAATTCGTTTTCTCTTAAATCTTTAACAGCGAGCTAGGTATCTGTTCTTCGTTCTGTTTCAGTTTCGTCTCCCTTTTTTGTCCTCATTTTCTGTATTTCTCGTTTTAGTATTTATAGGGTTAGGTTTAGATTGATGTTACAAATTAGTTAGCTTATATTAGGTCAATTAGAGTAAATTAGGATTTGATTCGTTTGTAAGTGATTAGAAATTTATTTGTAATTTTGATAAACATTGATTCTATGTATTTGAGATTGGAGTTGTAAATTGTTCTAGGATTTGATTTAATTTTAGATTCTGCATTTTTTTTAGATTTGAACTTGTAATATTCTAGGATTTGATTCATAGTACAATTATATTTAAGATTTGATTTGGTAATAATTTATACAGTAAGTGTCAATTGATTTGAAACACGCGTATTTTGCTCACTGATTTGCACAGTGATTGTTAATTCAATTTGGGCTTGTATTGTAACTTCTACTGTCCAGCAAGTTTCCTGATGATTTTGGGCCTTAAACCATGTTTCTTTATCCTTCCAGCATTCTTGAGTTTGGGCCTTGTTTTTCCCAATAACGTTTTTGTTTATTACAATAACATTCTTCTTTAACTAAAACGGACCTGGCCCAACATTAGGCTCTTT